GATCGGCAGCATCACCTCAACCAGTAGCCTTTTCCATGTACATTACCACTATCCTTGCCGTTTTCATTATCATTATTATTATTAGTAGTAGTAGTAGTAGTAGTAGTAGTAGTAGTAGTAGTAGTAGAGCAGCAGCAGCAGCAGCAGAAGCAGCAGCAGCAGCAGGAGTAGTAGTAGTACTAGCAGTAGTAGTGGTAGTAGCAGTAGCTGTGGGAGAAGCAGTGGCAGAAGTACTTGTGGTAGTAGTAGTAGTAGTCGTCGTCGTAGTAGTAGTAGTGGTGGTAGTGGCAGTAGTAGTAGTAGTAGTAGTAGTAGTAGTAGTAGCAGTAGTAGTAGTAGTAGTAGTAGTAGTTTTGCCTCCCGCCTGGCTAGGACGAACCTACGATGCAGGGTCAATACAGAGCTGATTCACTCACAACAAGCAGACAGTCCATTGTGGGTTGTCGAAAACGCAAATTCACTCTTCTATCGTGGCGCTTGGAGTTGACCACTCCGCACAAAGCCCCTCCACCACATGGTACAGCATCAGCAAAGCAAAACTGCTTCACAGATGCACAACTTGCTACTTGCTCCTCTGGCGCTAGCACTTGTGTTCACCAGCGTACATGAGGCACCGTCTCTCACTGAGCACCCTTGTTGACCGGCAGAGAAACACTCTCCGCTTACTTCGTTCCAGAGGCACACGGCACTCCATCAGCCCGTGCGTCAGTCTGAATTCTGAGATTCCCTCGCAAGTCACTGGTCAGAATTCTGCGATTCCATCTTGGACAAATTCGGTTGCCATGGCTTCAATTCCAGCAATTCACATGCTCGACGATTCATCGCCATTTGTGTAGACTCGTGAGTTCCACCAATTCGCATGCCAGCAGCAGCGCGCATGACGAGCCCTTGCACATCCAGAAGTCGAGGATGTAATTCAAGCAGGCCATCGTCCAGTCTGTATGCAGTAGTAGTAGTAGTAGTAGTAGTAGTAGTAGCAGAAGCAGTGGTAGTGTACAGTACATAGTGAAATTAGTACCATGATTACCAGTAGTGTTCGTTTTGCTTGTGGTAATAGTAGCAACAAATGCAAACTGCACAACAAGAACCTGTTCCAACCCCTAAAGGCAACCTGTACGGTGCACTCCATTCCTAGACCAAGCGCTCTCATTCCTGTAAGCCCTGATCACTATCCGCCGAACCCTTCAACCAAAACTTTGAACCCTAAACCCGGATATCTAGACCAGACCATCGAAATGCGCCTTCTCTTCGGGGTTTTGGCCTCCGAGTCCAGCCACACGTAGGGATATTGGCCTGCCTTCGACGACAACATGTCTGTTCTTGCAGTTTACAAGCCGTCAGGATTGAGGGTGTAAGGGCTTAGGTTTCGGCTTGGGTAGGGTTTACGCAAGCCTCCCTGAACCCAGGAGAGGTATTCCGGCTGATGCATCGATGAATCCAAGGGTTCCTGAAACCTTTTGTTGTTCTTGTCAGGGGGGCTGCAGTGCACATGCACTCAGCAGCCGCGTCACCTGGAAGCTTTGCGCTGAACAGGCTGAACACAAAAATTCGGCCAGGGCCAGGCCACGAGGATCCACAAACGAAACGGACATCAGGTCTTCGCGGTCACTTTGCGAGCTGGTTCTGAGGTGGAAGGAAACCCGCAATTCCAAACCCTTCAAGGTGAACCGCGAAGTCCAGAACATGCCCGGACTGATCCGAAGCTCTCCGCCCAAGACCGGAAGATCTTATTACTTATTACAAACTGCGAAGATACATCATACATCCAAAACCTGAAGTCCTAAAACCCCTGGGTTCAAGGTGCGTTTAAAGCTCAGCCTTTCCGATGTAGGATTGAGGCTTTGGGGTTAAGGGCCGTTTAGGATTTCGGAAGAGTTCCGGGTGCAAAGAGCTGGGGACTCTGGTGCTCACCTCGGGGTTGTTATCTTGCATGGCCTCCACAGAAACTTAGCGGCCCTGTGTGGGCAATGCTGGTTCAGGCCTTGGGGTTAAGGGTCCAGGATTCTCACCATGATGCTCCCGAAAAGAGAAACTTTGGATGTCAAGACAAGCATCCCAGTTTCTACAAACCCCCCTCGGGCCGGCAGAAAGTTGTCCCACTCCACCACCACCTGCAGAGATCGGGCCGTGAGGCTGAGGGATTGCAGGGTTGACGGTGTAAGGCCTTCTTGAGGGTGTAATGTAAGCTTCGATCAGGAGGACCGTCGGACTCAGGATCACATTTGGGGGGGGTGCCCGTGGACCTTAAATTAAACAGCTCAAGCAGTGACCACCCGCTTACAAGCTACAGCTCCATAGGTACCAGGATAGGAGTACACAACCCGTCGAACTCACTCGTAGTGCAGCGGAAACGGGCCTATTCGAGGCTGGGGTGAAGTCTCAGAGCTACCAACTGCGGTTCTAATACACATTGATTCAGCAATGCGTCGAAGGCTTTTTCCTACGGTGGGGGAACCCACAACAAACAAGCTAGACAAACTGCAACCATCCGCGCAGTTGCAAGACATTTCTGTCGGATTTGAAACTTGCACTCCAATTAATCTGTGAGGCAGTCACCTTAAGCCCTTACACCAGGCTTTCAATAGTTGCTGTCAAGAAGCACGTATTATCGTATCTCATCGTGTGCCCTTGTAGTCCCTATCATCATGCGACCAAATGCCAAAGCCCCAGTAGGCCTCGCTCGAACTCAGACCCTACACCACAGAACCTCAGCACCTTAAATCCCGTCTTGTTGACTTGTTGCATGGCACAACGGATCGTGCAATAGGTTCCTTGAGGGCTTTTGCTCGGCTTGGGTTTAGAATCGGGTAGCTAAAGGGTGTTTCGGCGGGAATTTTGACTACAGGTTGCCCTCCTGCCACTCTACAAATACCCAACTCAGCTCGCTTACACCCCGAACCCCCAACACATGAACCTTGACAATCCAAATGCGCAACAGTGCGCTTCACTCCGGCCCCCAAGCCCAAGAGGCATAGGAAACAATTTCGAAAGATTCCGAAAACGCCTCATCCCCCGACCGAGGAAACTAGGTCAATGTCTGCTAGGAAAAAACAAATGCCTCACAGTCTTTGTGGCGAGCGCAATAACCTCCAATTAAACTGTTGGTTTTTGTGGGCTCGGGGCTTCAGGCGTCTGTAGAAGGTGGAGTTGGGGGTCTTGGGGTTTGGGATTTCGGGTTTGGGGCTTAAGTGCTTTTGGGGCTGTTGGAGTTTCAAGGCCTAGGGGCTTGTGGAGGCTCTTTCTAGAAGGATTTTAGAGTCTGTTGATTTGAGCCTTTGGTCTTTGCTTGAGCCTACGGATGCAGGGATCACACCAAAGCTCCGAAGAGGGTCCTGCGCTTTCAGGACCGGGTTCAGGCAACGGTTTTGCACACGTAAGGCCTGGGTGGTGGTCCCCTCCCTATTGCCGGCGTGCAACTTAAAGATCTGTAGCATGTTGAAACCTTGTGGGGTGTTGCTTGGCTTTCCCCTGACCCGTAGTAGAACCCGAAAACAAACCTAAGGCTGAGCGTTCACGCACGGCTCGGGCTCACAGAGGTTAGGCGAGGCCTTTGGGAATAAGGTTTAGGGTTGCCGCCACATAGGTCCCGTTCTTGAAACACATGCTATAGGAACTGTCAGAAACACAACTAAACCAAAAGGATTTCTTGAAAAAGGACCATACCAGGAGCCATCACATGACATGATCGCTGTTTCATAGGGCCCCATCATTCATTCCCAAATAATATCTTCAATAAGAAACCCGGATATAGAACTCCACAGAGTAGGAGTCCGAATATCAAGATCCACAAAGGGGACACCCCGGTTATGACAAACCCCTATGTAGCTGGAACTGCAAACCCAAATCAAGGGTGCCGAAGGCTGCAGACCGCCAAAGTTTCCGGGAGAACCACGACCGACCCTTAACAACATGGCTGGGACAATGCCTACATAGAGGGATCGGGATGTCCGAAGCTGGGGCTTCATACCAGATTGACGGGGATTAGGGTTCATGGGTAAGTATGACGGTAACGTTGTAAATGAGGTGCCTACGCTCAACCCTTGTTCCCTACCGTAAGCCCGAACTCCGAAGTGAAGTTGAACCCTAGCCGGCAGGCGATGTGGCATCTCAAGAGTTGTCTGAACTTACGAGCCCGACCGCGAGCAGAACAAGACATGCCGGTGCGTGCAGTGCCAAATGTCCAACCTTGCTGGTGTGGTGCTTGGGGGCTTTCCTGAACCTTACAAAAACCTACACTTGGGTTCCAACATGTTTTTGGTGGAGGCAAGGATTTCGGATTCCACGAGTCAGGTGACGTGACGAAAGAAACGCCAGTAGATTCATGCATGCATTCGGTGTTGAGGATGTTATGGTCGAGATCAAGGGTTCGGGTCAAGGATTTGGGGTATACAGCTACGCTTTACGGTTCTTCAGTTTATTGTTGATAGGCTGCTGGAGGGTTGCTCTAAGTTGCCTCACCTTCCATGTGGGGTTTAGTGTTCAGGGCTGGGGATCAGTGCAAAATGTTCAGGCAGCTCATGGCACCCAGCCGTCTAACACGTATGTGCCGTTTCAGGACGACACCGCGCTAAGGTGGGGATGTTTATCTTCTTCTTGGGCTTCTGCACGGTTCGGCCTGGCGGCAAGCTATCGGGAAACTCCAAATCCAAAGTCTTGCTTTCCGGCAAGCAAGTGGACTAATTTTCAATCTCTCGGCCAGGTTTTGGGAAACTCTAATGACAAACTCTGTTTCCCGGCGACCTGTTGATGAAGTATGCAGGATTGTAGGCGCCCCCTCTACCAACCACCTCTTTCAAACACTGTTTAAGAGCACATCCATTTGACTCGGTATTTGAAGTACTCTCGTGATGTTGTAGTCCAAACCAGCGATGATGCTGATGGGATTATGCGCCAGGTGGTTGGTAGGGGGGTGGCTAGCAGCAGTAGTCGTCGTCGTCGTAGTAGTAGTAGTAGTAGCAGCAGTAGTACTAGTAGTAGCAGTAGTAGTAGTAGCAGCAGCAGTAGCAGTAGTAGAAGTAGCAGCAGCAGCAGTGGTAGTAGTAGCAGTAGCAGTAGCAGTAGCAGTAGCAGTAGTAGTAGTAGTAGTAGTAGTAGTAGTAGTAGCAGTAGCTGTGGCAGAAGTACTTGTGGTAGTAGTAGTAGTAGTAGTAGTAGTAGTAGTAGTAGTAGTAAGCAGTAAATAGTCGCCGCAGTAGTTGTGAGGTGCAGGAGTAGTAGTACGATTTCACCCCGGTGCAACAGGAATACCTTGGTTTTTGAAGACGCTCTTGCGTGCACAAGCTGTGCATACGAGCATTTTGGGTGTCTACATGTCGAAAAACCAACAGGACGAAAGGCATTTTAAAGTGTATCTGTCTACCGTTGCGCGTTGTGGAGCGCCGAGAATGCTGGTAGTTTTAGCACTCGCGCTTTAGGAGTTTTTGCTTTTGTTTATTATTTTTATTTTTGCGCATTGTCAGTGGTCAAGCCAGACAAAACGTAGCACAAATTCAGCTAAGTTTTATGTCAACCTTTTTTGAATGTCGTGTTCAAGAACGAAAGAACGCGAGACGCGCATTTCGAAAAAGGCATTTCTTTTTCAGAGATTCAGAGCATCCATAGCCCAAAATCTAATGACATCTATGGCCTCATGTGTTCGAGATTTCAAACAAACCAAACGACATCCATGGTCTAATGCGTTTGAGATTTCAGAGCATCTGGTGACGCCCATGGTCTAATGCACCTGAGATCTCAGAGCATCCATAGCCCAAACCTAACGACGTCCCGGGTCAAATGCGCCTGAGATTTCAATTCATCAAGGCCCCAACGCAATGACATCCATGGTCTAAGGCGCTTGAGATTTAGCGCATCCAAATCCTAATGATGCCGGTGGTCTCATGGGTGTGAGATTTCAGACCATCCAATCGTTGCGTTTAGGTAGTAGCAGTAGTAGTAGTAGTAGTAGTAGTAGTAGCAGTAGTAGTAGTAGTAGTAGTAGTCGTGGTGGTGGTGGTGGTGGTGGTAGTACTAGTAGTACTAGTAGTACTAGTAGTGGTAGTTGTACCAGTCGTCGTACTGATTGCTAGTACTAGTACTAATTGCTTCGTTATAGTAGTTTTCGTCGTCGTCATCCTCCTCGTCGTAGTTGTGCTATGTAGTCGTTGCAGTAGTCGTCGCTACTGCTACTACTACCCATACCGTGACGACGACGACGACAACGACTACTACTCCTCGCTACTGCTCGCTACTGCTCGGTTCGGCAGTTGCTTCGTTGTTTCGTTCATTCTTTCTTTCCCTGGCTGTGTATCGACTTTTCTGTCCTTTGTTGGCTTTTTTTGTATGTCTTTCCTTCAGTTCTGTTCCCTCTTGCAAAATTTTTCCTCTGGTTTTGATTTAGTTTTTGGATGCCCATCCCCTTCCGTGCTTGGTACTTGCCGTCCTTCTTCTGGTATGCAGGGCGTGCCCTCCACCAAAAAAATACAGCAAGGGTTTGGGGCAGTTTAGACATTCCGAACATTATTTCCACCTACCCAAATCCAGTAACAAACCCTAGGCAACTGAGGCAGGAGCGTGTGCTTGTACAGGGAAGCCTGCATGACATCTGCTACGACATGAAAAACGCCCAGAGCACGCGTACGTTCAATGCTTCGGGTTCAGGGCTTATGCACGTGCTTGTGCTGAGGGTGGCCAGGGCTTCGGGTTTGAGTTTGGTCCGCGGCCTGCGACGAAAGCTAACACTCCGTGAGATAAACGTATGCATAACTCGAAATTCCAAGCGCTGAACCCAGCGCTCGAGCTGGGCGTTTATGTGATTTCGACTCTGGCTTTGGGCTGAGAGGTTGTGGAGGGCATCCAATAATACTCTGATGCCTTAAACCCGTGATTCCCCCGGCAACCGATGGCTCCCTACACCCTTTATCAATAGAGCCCACCGAAGCTCGAGAACCACTACGATTCAGAGGTGCCACGGCTCATGTCGACCATCAAGACAGAATAAGACAAACGGAAACAATTGTAGACAAAGCAAGACACAATAAGAAGCCAGTTACCACCCCCAAGCACCCAAACCATAACATCCTATGCCTCAACCCTCAACCCCTCAAAAACTCCAGTGTAAGACCCACTTGAAGAACCCGTACAATGGAACCATGCCCAACCCCACAGGCCGTCCAAAGACCCAAAACCATAACAACCTATGCCTCAACCCCCAACTCACCAAAATACCCATAGTAAGACCCACCGCAAGAACCAATACAATGGAACTGTGCCCCCTAGGCCATCCAAAGACCCCAAACCATAACAACCTATGCCTCAACCCCAACTCACCAAAATATCCATAATAAGACACACATGATGGAAACCGTACTGTGGAACCATGCATAATCCGTTAGGCCATATCATAGATGCAAACCCAGACCCTGCAACAAGAAACACAATAGACCCGGAAGAAACCCAACCACCCGACCTTGGCCTTAAGACCCAAACACAAACCCTTACACAAAAAACCCACAACACCACCACCAGAAACTCAACCACCTGAGTTTTTCTACGCCACCGAAAGACCCATACACCTTAACACACAGAAAAAACACTGCAGGCAACCTCAAACCCCCTGAAGTGAAAATATGGAAATGGTTTCTTCTACTCATCTAACGATAAAGGCAGCAAGGTTTAGGGCAGAGATTGTAGCGACCGACATAAAAATGCAGCAAAACAACGATGTGCTTGTCAGGTTTTCGTTTAAGGTCAACTTTACTGGCATCTATTGTTAACCGCTCTCACTCCACCCGGAGCGTCTTTTCAACATACACATCTTACGGGAATCACACCATCTAGTTGGCTGCAAGAGCCTATACCTCTATGCTGACCGTAAATCCTATGCAGCCACCTCGCAAGATGCGATGAACCCAGGCGGAAAGGCTTTCCTACATCATTAGGGCACAAAGTAAATTCCAGAGCACATTGCCATTCATCACATCTGTCCAACCCCTGCAATTCACCGGGGGGACTTTCTTTGCGTCGAGCGTGGATGAAACTTCTCGCTCACGGATGTTAGATGCCTACAGGTAGGATGGTGGGAATCAGAGTTCCGGACTTTTCCCGACCAGGTCGGCAAGAGCGGGAACGAAATCACAATACATCAGTCGGCCCTGAGACATGTACAAGCCGACATTCTCAATGTCGTTTTGGCGTGTAGCAATTGTGCATCTGAACATTCAGTCTTTGACACGCGCGCAGACCCAAGGACTGTTGCGGCCTGGACGATGGTTGGGGATGGAAGCCAAGTTCAAGCTTGAAGCAAAGGTCAACTAACCAGGTCTTAGGGCATAGTGTTTAGGGTTTAAAACAGACTTTCCAACAAGGACGAAGCGCCATCACAAGGCTGAATGAAGGCATGGCTTCTGAAACTTTCTACCAGGTCGCTCCATCTCAAAGCATCTGAACAGCTGGAGGCAAGAATCTGACCACTGACTTGCATAAACCAAATCAAGCTGGAATGCTTCAGTGTGCAAAACTTACCCTCACAGCACTGGGCTAAACTCGAATGAATCGAATTCTAGCCTGTCAAGAGTGTCATTCGAGTATCGTCCCGCATGTTGCGTACAGTGATTTCATTCAGAACAACCATGCGCAGCTATAGAGTTAAGAACTCGAATCGTGAATACTGCCTATCATTACCTTCAACTCTATTATATTTTTGACCTAATTTGTTTTCAATATTTTCCATTGTAAAAATATTCTGTGACCAGTTGCTCACCCTCTCTTTTTCATGTGGCTTTCGCCTCCTAAATATCTTAACTTCGTCGCCTACATCTAAATCGGGATAGATACGGTTCTTCTTTCCCTTCATCGTTAAACTTTTAATTTCACTTTGAATTGATTACTGGGTTTTCGGGCTTCTTTTGGTGTAAATCCGGTTGCTGAGTGCTTCATCCTGCTATTATATGATATTAGTATTTCGAATATACAATCCGTCCATCGAATATTCTCTTTCCCTTTCTTTTCATCTGCTTCAACTCTCCTATACAACATATCTTTAAAAGTTCTGCTGGCTCGTTCGCTGAAATTTGGGTGCGCCCTTGTTCTGGGACATTTTGTGATGTTCTATGTTCTCATCCTTCAAACACTGTTGTATAGCTTCCTTGTCCAATGCGCCTTCATCATCTGTATAGATTAGCCGGGGTTTCTTTCCCATTCTATTTAAACACCCAATCACTCCACTCGCTATATTCCCTGCTTGTTTGCTTTTTTATCGGCACTACATGCATGAACTTATCAAGGATATCAATAATCAACACCCCTGCCTTAAACTTTTGTTCTTTCCAACTGTGTATAAAAAACATATCCATTTGATATTCGCAAGCGGACTGCGGAGCGATAAAACTGCTCTGTCCTACTGGCACATTCTTTCTAAACAACTCGTTAATATCGCCCATTCTTATAGTTTTGTCTTTATCCCGTGCTTCCGCCAATGTTCTGGATTTGCTCCCGAAACCCGCCTTATCAAAACATACATCATTAACTATTTTCTGTTTCTCGCTCATATAAATAGAATGATTTAATATAGTCAATTAAATCATCATCTCGAAAAGCCTAGGGTATAATGACTTTGTAACCGTTCGTATCGTATTTGGGCGCTCCGCCAGTCTTTCCGTTAGGTTTCTTATCAGTAATGATTGCGTAATTCGTGTAGGGGTCAACCCTTCCTCGCTTAATTTGCTCTCTTCTATGTATTCCTGAATTTTCTTCTTTGGCATGTGCCTTAAACTTGCATCACGTTTCTTCTGCATAAATTGCTCGTCTTCCTTGCGTTTGGCATAATATAAGCGCTGATACAATGCCAGTTTTTGCTTAATCCCATCCATCGTCATATCCTCGGACTTTTAAAAGTACAGAAAACAACATAATTATTCATATTACAATAGTATATTCATATTTTATCTTTAGATATGTTTTCTAGATATAACAAAACATCTTTGGAAAAAATATTTTAAAGTAATTCAACTTACATTGTAGTTATATTGTATATGAGCAAAATATTAAGTGTAACACGAAAGCACTACAAACAACCTACGATAATTACAAAATCGTTTAACACAACCAGTCAGTACCAAAATTCAAAATCTGTTTAGTTTTTCATGAAGACCGTAAAATAGCTCATTTCATCACCACAGATACTTCTGGAGAGCTGACTGCCCTGGGGGCTTTGTTTTGCAGCAGTTTATGCGTTGTTTTACGAGAAAACACGGCAGAAGAACAGAAGGGCCTGAATCGTACAATGTATTGTTTTAATTTTGACAAGTTCAGACGGTGTAGAAGAAAGGTAACCGTATTGATGCAACTTGATAAAGCGGTGCATGATCTGAAAGATGCTTTCACTCGTTCTTCGTTCCACGATCTGTGTTGATTTAAAGTACTACAGAACAATGTTATGCAGGGTGGGGAACGAACACCAAAAAGTCTAAATTGATGTAGCTAATTGAGCAATCACGTAGGGACGCGCACGGTTTTTGCTTCATTTGATCAAGGTAATTTGGTTCTTTTTGGCAGGACAACAAGCGAATAAAATAAAATAAACCGTGCTTATGTTTCAAGCCATTTTGCTTCATTCGTTCACTTAGCTCTTCTGTTCGTTCATTCCCTTCACTCTTTTTGTAATGTGTTCTGAAGTGAACGAGGGTGAAGAGAACAGAATGAACCAACGAAGGGAAATAATCCAAAAACATAAGGTAGATCTAAGTCTAAGTTCTAGAAGATCTTCTACATTGTAATGGTATCTTAACAATGTAATTCCCGGTGCAACTTCTATCTGTATCTTCTTCTGTTTCGCTGACGCTTCTTTCCTTCCCTTTCGTTTTTCGTTTCAAGCGAACCACGTGACAACAGCACAGTAAAAGCACAAAACCAGATCAAAGGGAAGTGCAAGCGGCTCAATTTCCAAAAAGTTGAAAAGAATGAAACCGTGCTTTCAGTCCGTTTAACGCTAGAAATTGATCTTTTCTTTTGTTGGTGTGTAAGTTATGAAGCAAAAAGTTAAGCTAACGCACCCTCTTTTTCATTTACACTAAACACAACAACAACAAGCACAACAACAACAACAACAACAACAACAACAACAACGACAACGAACCCAAAAGCAATTACTCCAAGCTTTGGTTCGTTTGGGTTGTGTGTCTCTTGTTTCTTTGTTTCATGCTTTCGCGGCAGTACATGATCAACAAACAAGCAACTAATCACAGCGCAGAATTAGACAGGGAAATGAGCCACAAGATAGAAGCGTCCGTAGCCACTTCTGATTGAAAAGTTAGGTTCCTTGCGAAAGCCCTGGGCAACTTCCAAAACACCCGCAACAGCTGCCGAACACGTCATAGCGACAACCCGTCAGGAGACGAATGCGAGTACACTACCTTCAATATTTGGGTCACGAATTGCTGCATACACTTCTGCACGTCCAGGTTCAGGAGACTCATGATCTTTCCTAACCTTCCTGAGCCAGGGGGGTCAAGTGTCTTGCTAAGTTGAGCTTTTGTTGGTTGACTTACGCAATCCATATTTGCACAGACAGCACACGTGTTTATAAACCAGGCCC